ATCAAACCTGGGTCCTCTGCAAGAGCAGTAAATGCTCTTCACTGCTGTGCCATCTCTCCAGCCCCAAGTATACGAGATCTTAAAGTAAGATGTATTGGACACAGGGAAACTGAACTGAAATCTGATACTCAACATGTAAGCCTCCTTGCACAGATGTTTATATTAATAACTGATAAAGGTTAACTATCCATTTAGTCAGTGAAGGCCACCAACATACCTATAAACAAAATTTATTATATTAATAAAATGTATACCTGTAATCCCAGCATTTGGGAGGAAAGGGAAAGGGGATTTGGAATTCAAAGCCAAGCTCACCTAGGTAGTAAGTTCAAGACCAGCCTGGGCTGTACTATATCCTGTCTCAAAAACAAAAATAAATAAATAAATAGGGCTTGAGAGATAGTTCAGTGGTTAAGAGCCCTGGATGCTCTTGCAGAGGACCAAGATTTGATTCCCAGCACCCAGGCTGTCTCTAACTCTAGTTCCAGAGAATCCAACGCCTTCTTCTGGCCCCCAAAGGCACTGCACATATGTGGTGCACAAACATGCATGCAAACAAAATACCCATATGCATAAATAAAAATTTAAAAATAAGTATTTTGTTAAGAAAAAAAAAAAAACAAGGATCCTGAATTAGTATGGCTGCCATACCATGCTTTGCAAATGACAGAATCTTCTGTACACAAGTCCACAGTGGGAATCTCCTCTTTGGGGGATTAAAGTTATTAGCTATCCCTCAGGGTCAGATACTATGCTACACACTGGACTAAAACAACTTACCAAAGGACTGAAATCTTTGCTCTAATGGGGTTAGAATCCTAGGAGTTAGGGAGGAACAGACAAGTGAAATGTACACAGCACATATTGTATTTCATGAATCTTGCACTGCACATTTCCCCACTTATAAAGTTAAAGCTCACTGGGTAGGTTGCACCTTACAGGAGTGACAGAGAAAGCATAAGCCTAGCAGAGGGAGGTAGTAGAGCGGAGCCTCAGCTCCCAAGAGTCAGCAAAGACCTGTGTGACATCTGAGCAAATGTAGAGAGGGTAAGGGGTGATACATGCCTCTAGGCGACATGCCTGCTTCTAGGCGGATGGAGAAGCCAACTTCCCAAACAGGAAAAAAAACAGCTACAAAATCCAAGTCCGATTATTTAGGGACATGTGGACAACCTTTAACTTACTCTATGGCCACTGTGTGGACTCCAGAGGGATAGGGGAACAGGACACAGGAGTGCAGGCTTTGGAGCCAGATGCCAACTCATGTTCATCTCTGCCAAGTCTACAGGACACCACCGGTCAAGGTGATGCTCTTATTTTTCCATTTCTAAAGCAGAGCTAACAACACTATCTGTCATCCGGCTGCTGCTGTGAGGACTGAGCCAATTATTATTGGGTCAGGTGTGACGGTACACACCTGCAATTCCAGCCCTTAGAATGTGGACCTGAGTTACACAGAGCAAAAACCCTGCCTCAGAAAATACAACAACAAAAAAATAAACTAAAAAAAAAATCATTATGGAGGTACACTTCCTGAGCTGGGCTTCCAGCTCTAAGCATGCTTCAAACACCAAGCTACTTCTCCAGCCCGGAAGGATTCTTTTATGCAAATCCCTTTGAACGGAGCCTAGCAAATAAAGGGTACAAGTACTTGACACTGTCATTGATTAGTGTGAACTCTGACTGTTGCTTCATTACCAATTTATTTTGTTGTATGTGGCTTGGTTAACTGGATAGTAATGAACAGTCATATTAACAGTGTTTGGGGACTGGGCTTTTCCAGGACCCCAAAGGGCTTTAAAAACCTAAATGTGATGGGTTTCAAACACAGATGATCGTGTCTACTCATCTTCCAAGGCAGTGGTTCTCAACTTGTGGGTCATGACCCCCCTGGGGGAGGGGGTCAAATGACCCTTTCACAGGGGTCACATATCAGATATCCTGCATACCAGACACTTACATTACAATTCATAAAAGTAGCAAAATTACAGTTATGAAGAAGCAACAAAAGAAATGTTATGGTTGGGGGTCACCACACCATGAAGAACTGTGTTAAAGGGCTGCAGCATTAGGAAGGTTGGGAACCGCCGTTCTGAGGCATAGACAACCCTCTCCCATCCACCCCTCCAAGCTATAAAACAATCGTGTGCAATGACGTCTCACTGTTTTTGCTGAGTCTCCACCCCACCCCCTGCAAAAGGTAAAACAAAAAAAAAGGATAAACAAATTCAACTACTAAAGGAATTGGTTTTAGCAAAACATGGATTTCAAAATAATAAATTTTAGTAGATGCTCTTGGTCAGGTTTGCTTTAGGAAATGGAAGACTAGTCTCATCCACTCAAAGTTTTAGACTGTAGAAGTTTTACTGAAGCACGCCATTCTCATCCTGAATCCCAGAGTCAGAAGCACGTGAGTGTAGGTCAGGCAGCCACAGCTGCCTCGTGTTTTCTCTTGCTTTATAATTTAGCAAGTGGTTCTTAAGCAACTACCCTGTTGGCGAATTCTGCCATATGATGAGTACAAGCAGGAATAAGACATTGTCCCCAACTCTTTTCTAAAAGTACCAGTGCCGCCGAATTAATACGTAACCCTTTTCTCAAATGAGGAGTCCGCTTCACGGCTGCTCCCTGCTTAAATCGGAGCTTACCCACACGTTCTCTGCCTCCTCTTTAGACCCCAAGTATCGAGCAGAACAGAAGTGAGATTGTGAGGCCAGAGAACATGGGGAGGTTTACCTGCACCCAACTGTCTGTCCTTCCTGCCTATAGCCCCACCACACACCAACCACTGTTGGGAAACAAAACAGGCCAAATGAAGGGAACGTTCTAAGTCTTGATGACTACGTCCCCCACAGTTTAAAACAAGATATTTTAACAAGGCTTGTCCCTTAGAATAATTTTGTTAAAACGTCGAGGTCCCATGTTCCATTACCAAATAACAGAAAGATACCTCTAAGCCCGTTCCAATCCTATCAGAGCTCATTCCTTAAGGTAGGACAAAGTGAGGCTTGGGGAAGAGGCGAGGTCAGGCTCAGGGAAAAGGTGAGACTGTTAGGTGAGGTTCTTTGCAGGCTTTACTTGGTAACTGCTGAGAATTTAACCGTTACTTTTTTTAGGCTGCAACAAAATGCCTCCATGGAAAATGTCTAAAGCAAAATGTCAAGCAGAGGACAATACTCAGCACACAGTATTTCTGGCAGTAGCACCCCACCATGCTCTGTGTCCAGGCTTAAGACCTTGGACTAAAATGAACCCTCACCATGGCCTTTCTGGTGCGTGTTCTGTAATTCACAGGCAGAATAGATCTTCTCCCTCGGCATACTCGTCACACAAAATCATTCCACGATTTACTCACTTATCCATCAAAGTCACTCTTTATGGTTGGTAAAGAATAGTAAGCAACTGATACACAAATGGTCCTGTCATTAGGTCCTGCACATAGATATGCATCCTGAGATGCTTGAGCTGAGGCTTAAGGAACTGGAAGGACTCTGCCTCACAAAGAGGAAAAAGGTAAAAGAAACATGTGGAGTATGTGTGGGAGACAGGAGCTGTAATCCTAACAGGTATGTCTGCCAAACTAAGGAGTTTGGATTTTGTTATATAGCCAGGGGACGCACTGGAGAATTTTAATAAGACAACTGACTTAATTTCTTCTTGGGCTCACCCAAGCAGGTGGTCTGAGGGAAGCTGAATGCAGACAAACTAGTTGGGAAGGCACCGCTGTCATCTCGGTGTGAAATGAGAATACCAGAAACATCAACACGCAGAGCATTCAAGGAGAGGAAGGATTTGAGAAATAGTCTATACATACAAATTATACACTCACATTGGACATGGGAAGGTGGAAAGCCAAAGTCTTCAGGGTTTCCTCCCCCTGGCTTAGGATATTTTGGGTAGAGGTACTAATGAGCATATGAAGGCATGCAGTGGAAGCATACTGATTTTTTTTTTTTTTAAAGAGGGAGGCTGGGAAAGACGAGTCCAATCTTAAACGTCACGTCTGAGACCTACGGGGAATTGAAACCGAGAGATGCATGAGTCAGTTGGCTAACCGAACCGCCTTTCGGTGTCAAGAAATTTACAAGGCAAATTCCGCAAGCATGTGGACCTGGAAGCCTCATTTGGAAAGAACAAGTATACCGATTTGGAAAAATGACATTTTGCATGTTAAAACCACTGAAAATGCAGGAATCGAGAGTTAATGGAAACAAACAAACATTACGCTACTGGGCTACCAAACTGACACTCTGGAATGATTTATTTCTAATTTCTTACTAGAGTGAGGTAAACGCAGGGCTCGATGGAGGTTCTTTCTCACACTTGAAAATGAGCGGAGTACCTGGTATTTAGATCTAGGAATTCCTTTTAGTAGGGTTGAGGAGCAAGAATTTAGAAACGCGCCCTCCAGTGGTGGTGGAATGAGGGGTCTCTAGCACCCCCCCCCCCCCCCCCCCCGTTACCACCAAACAAAGCCCTGAGAAGAAATGCAATTTACGAGGATCAAAAGGCCACATCGCTCGCACCGCTTCATCAAAAGCACCAAACGAATTCTCCCAGGGGCCCGGACCCCCACCCCCCTCCCCTTCTTACCTGTCAGGTTGGCCAAAGGAAAATTTCACTTTCGACTCCACAAAACCAGCCCTTAGATTTGACAGCTTGCAGTCCGTCCCGCTGGGCGACAAAACACCTAGCAGCCGAAGCGCGCAGTCTAATCAGATCCTCCCGAGCCGAGTGGGCTGGGCTGCGACCACGTGGGTGACCGCGACCAGCAGCAGCAAGCGGCGCAGGGCGGCGGAGGGGGCGTGGCCGTGGGGGGGGGGGCGGCCCGCCGGTGGGCGTGGTCTGCGGGCCGGGGCTCCCTCCTCTCCCCTTTTGCCTTCGCCCTTCGAGCCGCCACGTAACGCCACGTCCCCGCGCATGCGCACCGCGGCTGGCGGCGGTGGCTGTTTCCGGGCTCAGGGCGCCCGAGCGGCTGCTGAGTCGGAGGCGGCGGTGGCGGAGGCCGGGGAGTGCGGAGCGCCGGCTCGGGGGCTAGGCCCTTCGGGGGGCGGGGGCGGCCGTGTTTTCTCTGGCTTAAGGGGCTGGTGGACGCCGGCGGCTGAGCGACGAGATGAATTTCCTCCGCGGGGTGATGGGGGGCCAGAGTGCCGGACCCCAGCACACAGAAGCCGAGACGGTGAGCGCAGCCCCCGGGGCCCGGCTGGGGCCGGGCTGGGCGAGAACGGGGCGTCCACGCCTCTCCCTTCGCCTTCCTTCCCCCTGCTCGGACGCGCGAGCTCCCCACGCGGCGGTGTAGCCCGGGGCCGCGGTGACAGCAGGGCTTCGGGGACCCGGCTCGCCGGCGGACCGAGGCCCCTCCCTCCTTCCCTTTAACCTGTCGGCCGGCCACGGTGCCGGCTGAAACCCGGCTCTGGAGGGCTGGTGTGGAAGGAGGTTAAAACCCAGCTGTTGGCGAGGGCGTGTGGCTAAGAATAAAACGATATTCCTGGGGCACCCAGCCACCTGCTCCTGCCCCATCAGCTGTAAAGACGGACGTTTGCTGCCCCATCAGCTGTAAGGACGGGCGTTTGCCTAGGGTTGGTGGTTTCAGAGCCCACTTTTCAGGTTCACCCAAATGTGTCTGTGTGGCAATATTGAACGCAGTAGTGATCTGTGCTGTAACCACTCTAGGGACTTTTCTGCTCTCCTGGTGACACAGTTTTGTAATGTTTTTAAAAAAAATTATCAAGACACGGAAAGCCAGTGTTTGATTTTATGTTTCGGATACACTTACTGTGAAGTTTGCATAGAGTCAATTGGAAATTACTGTGAATGCACTAAAAAAATAAACTGACTTGAGAATAAATTGAGCTACACAGAAAATGACTGCGGGTGACATTTTAAAGATAAACTTTAGATAGCTGTCATACCTTTGTTTTAGAAGATCCAGAAGGATCATAAAGTACCCTGAAAGGATAGGGTCTTTACAAAGTAATTTGCCCAGGGTCTTAGAGATAGAATTCTACTACGGTGAAAACTAAGGCTTCTCTAAGCCTGGACTTTGTTGCTGATCCCTCTATTTCAGTTCTTACCTGGCGATTTTGGAAATTTACATAATGTTAACCATACTAGTCTCTGTTAGTACTTCTTGGGGGAGATGGAGGAGTTGTGAGGATTGAATCCAGGGCCTGAGCACATAATAAGGCAAACATTCTGCCACTGAGCCAGACTCAGCACCAGGTTAGAACTGAGCTGAAATCTGGCAGGTTCCATCCTCTCCCAATATTTGGCTTCACTTGTCTCAGACACACAAATGAAGAGCTTGCTTTGAAGTTAGACCCCGATTTGAAGCCAGGCTTCCTTCCACCCTTGATTGACTTGGGCAGATGAGAGAAGGTTGACACTTTCTAAGTAAAATGAAGTAAAAGTAAAAGTGCTGGCTCTGAGGGATGTGATGAGTCTTTGGGAAACAGAAAGTATGGTCCTTAGTAGATGCTCAGTAAAAGATAGTCTTGACTCCACGTAGGTTAGAGTGGGGAATACCCTTTGGCCTGGTCACAGTGACCTCTTGGAAAAGGTGACTGAGAGTATAGGAATTTAAAGCCGGAAGGCTCCTTCTGGATCATCTAGTCAACCCTCCTCCTTTTACCCTCACCGTAGTGGAGCTGGGCCTGGAACACTTTGATGCACTGTGCATAAGATCAACAGCCTAGTTTTTACACCATTTCAGAACGATGCCCCGGTGTCACCGTGATGGATATGTAAACTGGACAGAGTGACAGCCCTTGCTTGTTACTGTTCAACTTCATGTGCACTCAAAATGGAAAAAGTAGTTTGTCTCTGAAGGAGAGTGAGTTTACTGAGTTACAGTGTGTTCCGAACTAGTTCTGATTCTATGAGGAAGTACAGCAAGGACCCATGGGTGACTAATTTAGAAGAATTTATAGAGCATCAGTGGAGTGCACGGTGTAGTATTAGGTGCTTTAATTGGTGATATTTGATTTGGCCTAGATGTTTGACTTGCAAGGGCTTTGAACCTTTTAACTTCTAGATGATCATCTACTATAATGTAGGTTCTTCCATCTCTGCAAAATTAAGTTGTATCTTCTTTGGAATGGTTCTCCATCTTTCTTTTTTGTAGCTTTTCCCAGTAGAAAGCCTCTTTTATCTGAATTCTACTTGTTCTTCAGACCTGTCATTAATTTTTTCTAGTATGCACCCTAACTTATTTGCCCAAGAAACTGCAAATAATGTCTTTCCTCACAGAATAACCATTGCTTTATAACTAGGTGAACATGTCTTGTTCTTCCTACCATTTATATACACCCCAGCCCCTCTGCTTTCCTATCACGTATAAAATCATCCTTTAAAGTATCTTTTTTGTTCAAGGGTCAGTATTTCAGGGTTTTTTCCCCTAGTAATATATGCACCATAAGAATTTTTTTCCAGACATTTCACTGAGCTAAATCCCCGATCCCTCCTCCATAAACATTTTTTAAATTAGAGTTATATTTCAAATAAACCACAGATATAACAGAGAAACTTACAAATATTAGGTTTAAAGAAATAAATGCCATTTTTATCCCTTTAGAGACCAGAGTTGTTGGACAATTGAAGTCTGTTGTGTCAGACTTTTTACTTAGAGATTTTTCAGATGTTCTCCTTGTTGGCTGTTTTCCTGCCTTTACATTTTTTTCTTCCTTCATTGTGGGGTGCGAGGGGAGGGGGGTGGTGGTAGTGGTGGTGGCGGTGGTGGTGGTGGTTTGGGTGCTAGCAGAGTAAGCTATACCCCAACCCATGCTTAGTATCTTCTAACTGTGGAAGAGCTGTATTGCTGATTGTGTTGTGCCTAGCCTAATCTCAGCTGAGAGTGACTTGGGGCTTGTATTAAGATGTTCTTCAGAACCAGCCAAGTAATAAAGATCTGTGTTTGTATCACAAGATCGTCAGCAAGTTTGTGAAATAGAGGACATGTTTAATCTAGAATTCGACCCACATCACACTTGGTATTTTTAAGTCCAGAACCTTTTAATACGGTTTCTTCTTCCTCCCTTGAGGTAGAGAAAGACACTGATGTCTATGATTGAAACTTCTTTCGCCTTGGCCTTGCCCGTGCTACTAAACATAGTAAAGGCCCACACGTACTTGTGAAGGCTCTTGTGTTCTTAGGGTTTCTTGAAAAGTCCGCAAGAAATGTGAATATACTTGATAAATCGTTGGGATGCTTTCTGTTGTCAAGTTAGTCCTGAGGCATGAAAGCGGCTAACAGAAGAAAGCTCAGAAATGCTGTTCTGTTGCAGGTGTCTCTGGGGGTTGATGATGAACGCCTCAGAAGGCAGGAAGGCTAGCAAGCTAGACCCAGGTGTACGTTCTTCTAATTAAATTCTTAAGTGGAACGTGACCTTAAATTTACAGTTTGGGACTGGCCGGTGGCTCAGCAGGTAAATCACTTGCTGTGCAAGCCTGACAGACAGCCTTCAATCCCAGAACCCACAAAAAGGTGGAAGAAGAGATCCAGCTTGACAGTTGTCCTCTGACCTCTCTGCATGCACACCCACACACATTAACAATAAAGAAAAAGGTTTTAGTTTTCAGTTTTGGTTTGAGGAAGCACGTTTTCTGAGTGTGTGATTGAGGACATTGTAGTGTTGTTGTAAGTGTATTCTGTGAAGCTCCTCTTTGAGTTGCCGCTACACAGTCTACATTAGTAACTAGGTCGGTGTCTTAATTGGAATGTTTTCTCACTTGGCTTGACTTGCAATAGGAGTGTCAGAGAAAACAGGGGAGTGATTTGCCTCTGATGACTTTTACGTCCCAAGCAAAGTGTTTTTTTGACTTGCTTGTATTAAACATCACTTCCCATTTTGAAGGTTAATTACGTAAATTATTTAGGCTCCTTTCAAAAAAAAAGAATCACTTAAAATTTACATGCCCTAACATTAGCAAGGTGTGTTCCAAAGAATGTTATTTACAGTCTTTGTGATGTCCTAGAAAACAGAGTTTGTTACCAAAGAAGTGTGTTGTCTGTTGGTCACAAACGGAACAGGAAAGCCCTCTATGGCGATATGAAGGGTGCCTATTTCACAGTTTTCTGTCTAGACCTTGTGTGTGCACAAGTATGTGCTTATGCCTCAGGGAACTTGGTGCAGCTAGTATTCTAGGAAATGTACATTGGATGAATGTCCTAGCGGTCTATTGTACTGGGATCTAAGTATATAATATGCTTCTCTAGTTTCTGCTTTTCAAGAGTCCTCCATGATCTGCAGCTCTGTACCTAAAAGAGTAAGTTCTGAAGCCGTATGATTCGGGGAGTAATTACAGTCGTCCTGAACTGGAGTATCTCCTAGGACATATCATAGCAGTTCGTTTGAGAGGCTTGTGTTTGTTCACTTGTTTTTGAGCCCGAGTCTCACTTTGTGACCTAAGCTGGCCTTGAACTCAAAATTCTATGCTTCAGCCCCAGTGCTGGGATTATAAACTACCATGCCCAGCCTGGAAATTCTCTATGTAAAAATGTTATGCTAGCCGGGCGGTGGTGGCTCACGCCTTTAATCCCAGCACTCGGGAGGCAGAGGCAGGCGGATCTCTGTGAGTTCGAGGCCAGCCCGGTCTCCAAAGCGAGTTCCAGGAAAGGCGCAAAACTACACAGAGAAACCCTGTCTCGAAAAACCAAAAAAAAAAAAAACGAAAAAAAAGAAAAATGTTATGCTGACTCTTATTTAGTTGTTCCAAATATCATAGGAAAGTTATGCTTGTTTTCATACCGGAGAAGTACTATAAACATTCCTTGTATAAAATAATGCTAATCACCTTTAATTTGAAAACTTTTATAGTGATAGAGTTTTTTAAACATTTATTGTTTATGTATATGTGTGTGTTACCTGCGTGTCTGGGTGCGCAGGTGCACACACACACACGCACACACACACACACACACACACACACACACACACACACACACGCGCACACACACACACACACACACCATGACAGTCAGAGGACAGTGGTTCTGCATTTACCCCATGTGGGTTCCAGGGGTGACATTCAGGTCATCAGCAAGAACCTTTGACCATGAACCATCTTGCCAGGCCTGTAGTGTTAGAAGTTGTTGTTGTTGTTGTTGTTGTTGTTTTTGGTTTTTCGAGACAGGGTTTCTCTGTGTAGCTTTGCGCCTTTTTCCTGGAACTCACTTGGTAG